ACTTCAATAAAATTCAGTTAAATTATCCAGATGGTTTTCATTCCGCAGAAAATACTAAACCAGCAGTTTGCAGACCATAGCATTTTCTACATACACAAAATAAAGAGAAAACAATACACAAGTGGAAAGTGCAAATGCTGAGCCCGTTATATTTTTGTTCCGGCAGAAATGCAACACAATCAATAGAATCTTGCAGTTTTGAAGCACCCATCTTTCTGCTGCCAAGGGTGCCCTGCAACTGTAAGTGCCACCAAATAAAGTACACACAGTTCCTCGTTCGACCACTTATTTTTTTTCCCCATGCTACATGCAATCACACAGCCCCCAAAGCTGGGCATTCCCTGTAGCACTACAAGAAGCTGAACGGCACCTACTGAACAACCTGAAAGCAGCCAAGTTTAGCATTTCTCCAAAGCATAGCCTGATTCTGTAGCTCTTAAATAGAGGGAAAACTGTCTTGGATTAAATAGCAATTACAGAATTGGAATTTCAAGAGCTGTGAGAGTCCTTGCCACAAAAAAATAAACCTACTGAAAAGAGACAAGGACAGATACTGCAGTTTTCTGTACTCTGTTATTTAATAAGCCTCAATGCAAAGGTGTTAATTACAGATGGGAAACTCACATCACATAGCGTACAACACCACCAAAAATCACTCAATCCACCAACAAGCAGAATTAGAAAGCTGATCAGAAAGATCGGCAAGAGATGAGCCATGGAAAAATATCTGTGCAGCTACAGATGGATATTCACCCCTTCTACACAGCATCTCACTAAAACGTCTCATAGCAACGGGGCAGGAATTACCAGATAGCAGGGGATGAGACTGGTAACCATACAAACCAGTACCATCCTCCAGCTCATAGCACATCTCAAAAAACGAGATGAGAAAACGGGCTAGCAAGCAAACCCAACACTGAAACAAGGAGGAGCTGTAAGAAACCACTGAAGCATTTTTCTTCTAGATCATTAATATGTTTTTTCCTGCAGTACCACTGGTTTCCACATCAGCCAGCCAGTATGGCATGGAAAAGAGCATCACCGCAATCTGCTGAACATTGCGCCCTATCGATAGCACGTCGATGCTCTCGCAACCCTTCGGGAGAGCAGGACCTGTCATCTTCCCTGTGCCTGCGTCTCTGTGCCTACCTTAAATAGCTGCAATGCCAGGCGAAGCTCTGGGTATGAAAATGGTGGGATTATCAGCTGAGACGGCAGCCACCACCACCAGGGGTGCTCCAGATCGCAGCTGACCGCAAGAGCCACCTTTTCTCACCAGCCTCCTTTCATCGAGCTGGTACGCGGCGTGACACTCGGCACAGCAGAACAGCGTTTGGGAACACGCCATCAGTGGACCTGTTCCTCTGCAGGTTTATTTATAGTCTTCAAGTGCTGCAAGGCCAAAGACCAAGTGGTCAAGAGCATCAAAGAGCAGGTCCCTAGAGATCCCACCTGAGACCCAAGAACAGACACACATCCCGGATCAGTGCAAGAGGCCACTGCAGACCCACAGGAGGGAAATTTTGTCCTATGGAGATCCTGGTACCCAGCACAACTCTTACAAGCACCTTCATTAGAAAGGCTAAGTGAGAGATAATTAACAGTCTCCTCCACAAACGAGGACTCCTTTGGAAAGACGGTAATTACTGCCTACTCAGAGGGATCTCTCCCAGAAAGAAGGAGGCTGCTGTGCAGGCAGGGTAGCCGATTCCTTTGGGAAATACCACAAAGGCTGCAAGAAAGACCCTCCCCAGCTCTGCAAACACACACCAGCAGCAGCACCAGGCCCCTTCCAGACAGCCCTGTTTTCTCTGCAGCGGCAGCCCCAGCACCTCAGAGATCCTCTTAACAGGCAGATCCATTTCACGTTTTTCTACATTACTCGACACGTTTGGAAAAACAGAAAGACCTTGCTGGCCCACAGCATCTTCAGGGCAAGCAGCTCCTACAGCACAGCTTTGTACAGTGAATATCAAAAGCTGTATTAGCTGGGAACCAAATTATCACTTGCAGAATAGTTTTGCAATTAGATTGAAACTGTAAATTGTGCAACAAGCTAAATAAAAAAAACCAAGTCTGTGATAGAGACGCAATCTTATTTCATCTCCTCCCTTACTCGCTTTACTCCTTTGTAACTCACTTCCACGCAGATCCAAGCTTCTCTTGCCGTACCACGAATGATTTCACATTCCTGAAAAATTAAGCGCTCTTAAGAAATGATGTGTACTTGTCTTCACTGTTAATATCCACCTTTGCCCGACAGCTTCCGCACCAATGTAATACCACTAGGAGAGGCCCTTTGGCCACCAGTACCATCAGAGAGTCCATACCACCCTTTGACTTCCTTGCCCTGCTGCAACGATTCAGGAATCTCTGGTTCCCATAACCCTAAAAATGTTTCCCTTCATCCAACTACCAGTGCCCCAAATATCACCACTTGTATTTCAAGCAGGTCCCTGTATTTCATGCTGTGACCCCAACTACAGAGATTTGGACAACTGCCTTTTAGAAACAGATGGAGCTGAAAACAATCTAATTTCTGAGCCCATCTTCCTTGCTTCCTGGTAGAGCTGCTCCACTTCGTACAAATAACTATTTTCTGGAGCAGGGTGAGAACCACCATAGGTGAATGCTCACTCCCCTGCCTTACCAAGCCACTCCTGCCCCTACCAGTTCAATGAATACTATACAAGGCAAAACAGATTAGCTTCTGCAAAAGAGACACCTCAAAACACCCACAGTTCATTGCTTTGGGCACTCCAAAGGGTGCTGGACATGTTCAATCCCATGTTGTGAGTCACAAACAGGACCAGAACGCAAAAATTCTGTGTCCTGAGTGGATAAAGCTGGGGTAGGGGGATGATGTACTACCTGCTCTTCCTCACCTCTGTCAGAGCAAACCTGCCTTTGGCACATCGCTCCGAGAAAGGTTTAGCAACAGCTCACCCAGACCAGACAACCAAATCTTCAAGGGACAGCATTCAACACCAACACCAGCCTCTTAGACCCTTCACTGGCTGACTCGGGCAACCCCCCCACTCCACATGCTGGTGTTCACAAGCCTTCTTTGAAGCCACCTTTCCCTCATGGGTTCTGTAAGGAACCTGGACACCTACCTCATGGCTTTGTTGTTTTGGGGTTTTTTTTGTTTTGTTTGTGGGATTTTTTTTTTGGTTTGTTTTTTGGTTTGTTTTTTTTTTTAATTCCACTAGGCAGCAGAACACATAAAAACGAGATGATGCAACGCTAAACCAAAGTTCCCCTGATGCACATAGCCCTAGGTGCCCAACAGGATGTGACAGGTGGACAGGCAGGCGAGCCGAAGGATGAGGTCACGAAATGAGCAGTTGCACAGCATACTACTAATCTGAAATTCCAGACTCATTATGCACGAGCCCAACAAACAAAGGAGCAGCTTAACAGATTTACAGTGTGCCTTCTCCAAGGGTGGAATAATTATTTATCAGATAGCAACCTTTGTGTTTCAACAGCAATAAATAAGTGAGCCCAGCAACTCCTCTGAACCGTGCCACTAGACAGACTGACATCTGGGATGTGCCTTTAGCACAGCGGAGCTTGGGTAGAACTGTAAATATTTGGTACAAATAAAATAAAGCTTGCTAGGCTGAGCAGAGACCCAGACACAGTAGTTAATGGCACGCCAAGGGGACCCACTGCCAGAGCCCTACGCCTCCCTGAACTCCTTCCAGCTTCCAATGAACAGCTCAAAAGAGTTTTTTCCCCCCTTTACTTTTCTGTAAAGATCAGCCCCTCCTGCATGTGTACCCATCTCACTATCCTCCTGATTCCATTCTCTCAGGTTGCGACTGTTACCTATTCAGGCTGTTATAAAACAGGTTTGGTTTGTTCCCTCTACCTCTGTATTCCTAGTTTGGCTTTACAGCTGCACATTACCACGCAGGGACACATCCAGAAAAAGCATTTCCAAAGTCAGTCACAGTATATCCAAACTCTCTCCTTCTTTATTTAGATAAAACCCAAAAAATCCTGAAAGGAAATAGTAAATGTGCACAAAACATGCTCAGCCAGGCTCTCCCACTCGGATATCTCAGCGATCCTTTTCCATCTCTACAGTACTATTCTGACTTCCCAGTTTGAAGCTCCAGGACCACACACACACACACCCTTGCCCATATTCCCCATCTCCTGCCATCTGACAGCTTCCGAAGTCTGCTCCCATCTCCTCACCCCGAGAACAGTTCCCGGTTGACTTAGCTCCATCCCAAGTTTTCCAGCTGGCTGCTTCTCCTCCAGGAAGAAGAAAAAAAAAAAAAAAAAAAAAATTACATCCAGGTTTACATGTTACAACAGGATGGCTGGGAATGAGATTAGCAACAAATCCTTCATCGCTCCTGTCTCCATTCTCTGAAGCATCCTTCGTTTGGGACATTCCAGTCATTCCCACTTCTCCTCATTACTGTTCCCTGGTCTCCAGATCCCAACGCCCTTGCCCTATTAGGTTTCTACCCTTCATACAGCAGTTTGTGTTGTCACTTACAGCGAAGGCAAGACTCGGTGTCTCAGCATCCCAGGGTTGCAGGCAAGCTTTGACAATGCAGGATCTGTTACTGGCGTGATGCTTCAGACACATTACACCTGGCAAGCTTCCAGCGCCTAAATATCTCAAAGCTGATCAACATCTTCCCTCTACCCAAAACACTAACTTTCACTCCTTTTCTCGCAGAATTCATCACAAACAAATTCTTTAATGTAACAGTGGGCCAAACCAGGCGCGTAATCCTTGCGCACAGAGAAATGAAGCTTACCTTTGTGGGTTTGAACAGACACAAACCTCCTTCCTACTCCCTGCAACTTCAGCGGCCTCTTCGCAAGCGGTCTCACAAGATGGTCTGAGAAGACCAGACACCCCCCCCCCAGCAGCTCACCCAGCCACTCCAGCCTTTAAGCAACAGGTTTAGGCAGGTTTATCCCCATTTTGTGTCAAAAGAGCGGCACAAACGGAGGCGCAACCAACGTACCTGTGAAACTAGATCACCGTTTTGGGGGGAGCATTTAAGGATGAATCCAGTTCTTCCAAGAGATGGGAACTGCCGCATCATCTCAAACGTGACTGTTTCCCTTAGCTGAAATGTCCCTATGAAATATGGACTGCAGGACTGATCTCCAGCCGCCTGACACCATACCTGGGGTATTCTAGGGTAAGAGAAAAATGGTCTAAAAAAGAAGTATTTGTTTGTTCTTCATCCTTATTTCTCCAAGTAATACAGAATTCATAAACTCCACATCTGCAAATGTATGTCTGCCTACATCGTAAAGGAATAATCATGGGAACTGATTAAAAAAAAAAAAAAACTTGTTTACTGTTAGAGGCTGTTAATTACAACATTAAAATACTAGCCCGAACCCTACATTAAACTTGCATTCTGTTTTACATAGCAGCATACGTAACAATCATCACAGCAAGCAGCTCTGTTGGCTCACGCTGGAAGAAGTAATTATATATCACAGCAACACATTTTTGCTCTTCAACCTGCCAGTCCAGTCCACGCAGCAGCTGGGAGCAGCAGGTCAGGGTGGGGGGAGCTACAGAGGGTTTCTACATAATCACTTACCACCAAAGGCAAAAAAGCTATAAACCACCAGACCCTGGCTTGCACGCTTGGCAGAAAGCTGCTAACACAAACATTACAGCAGCCCTTGCAGCAGAGATGCTACCAGAAAAAATGAGCTCGATCCAAAGGCACTATTAGTGGTTAAAGTATTAGCTAACAGTTGTATTGCAAGCCTTCCTTATCAATTTTCACAACTTTTGTACTCGTAGCAGCAATACCCACACCATCGCCTTTCACTTGGACACTCCTACGCCCTCTTTGAAACGCGTATTCGCCAGCGAAGCCCACAGACGTCAATGACTAGGGCTTATGCAAGTGGCAAGCTGAAATTCTGGCCCAAGATACTGAGACAGAGCCCTTTCGAAAAGGCACCCCAAAATTGCTAGTACCCTTCCACAGCAAGCAGACCCTTGGCACATCCACCACAGGAAACCACCCATAACTTCTACCGCGGAGATGGGCTGGAGGACAGGCTGATCTGCTTCAGGCTGTATGACAGCCTTCAGTTCCACTGAACCTAAACATCTCAATCCTGACACTCAAAGCAGCACCAGCTTTTTTTACAACTGTTGCAGATAGAGCAGTAGCACTGTTGTATTATGAATATGCAACGACATTCCTTTTCCTGTGCTGCTTTTCCCCAGTATGAAATGAAGTGTAAAACTACATGCAAGCCAATAGTTGTCCTGTTACTGTTTAGTTGCTGGGATTATTAAAAAAAAAATTAAAATAACCACAGCTCTAGTATAATATGATAGCAATGCAATAGTTAACCGTTCAGCAAAATCTGCCATGCCATGCTGCTTAATCACCTTGTCTTTGTTCCAGCAAAAATGATACTAAAAGACAGTGAGTTTTACCAAATAAAAATGTTACAACCAATGTATTTCAAAAACTTCTCAAATCCAAAATAGAACGAGACAGACAATAATGGCCAAGAGCCTGACCAGCCTAATGGAAGTTGGACTCTCATTTTGTTTGCAACACTGAAACAGCAGATCATTCTCGGAAGACAATTAACAGCCAACATGCAATTTCAATTTTTAGCAGAAAAGTAAACAGAAAATTAAGACTTTGAAAATGAAAAGGAAGGAGTAAAGTGTGTTGCTTTGGAAAGCAGACCTAGAAATAGGAGGACAGCACAGTAGGTGTTGGAGCAGGTTTCTCCTGCACCCTCATTTGTAAGGAGCTGTATAGATTTCTTCCCATTAAACTTTTAATCATAGAATGTGGCAAGAGGATGAATTTGTTTATTTAACAACGCATCTGCAAATCTCTTCTGCTCTTGTTTCTCAGTTTTCCCACCGTGCTGGAAAGGACCTCCAATACATCACCCTAAGCGCCAAATAAAAACATACACAGCGTGGAATAAGCTCCACAGTGACTTGGTAATGGCAACTGGTAGATTCAAAGCAGCTCCAAAAATTCTGGTCCAAAGGCTTGTGAAATTACCTCTGCTACACGCAGGGAAACGAGGAGTACCAGGGGCACCCCAGCTATTCATCAGCAGGGCTGCTTCAGTTTCTTTTCAGACACTTAAAAGGCAGAAGAATATATTGATTCAAATTATCACCTGGATTCTGTAAATCGATAGTAGCCAGCCAGGGAAGCTTCTGCTCACCAGAAAGGTATGGATTTATTTCATGCAGAGCGCGTATGTACTTACACACACAGCCAGCAGCCCGATAAATAAAAAGAAAATACACGTGCATGCTAGAAGGTGCAGAGTCAGTGCAGTCAGCTCAGCCTCAAAAGATTTGGGCACTCTGATCAGCTTGGCAGATAAATGCAATCTGCCCGAGGAAAGCAGGCTAGGGAAGCAAAAAGGTGATGTTCAATAGTTTGTATCAAAGCAAATGCTGAACTGAACTTCATGGGCTATTTCTGTTTCCTTGCTAAATAGCAAAGGCCTACTGCAAATAACAGAGCGAGAGTTTCGCAGAAGAGAAAAGGTCAACCGGGATCTCTCACCATGGAAAATTCTCTGCTACGGAGAGGGAGCAGCACCAGCTCCCAGCATAAAGAAATACAAAGAAATACCGCTTATTGTCTCCACATGTTTATGCAATCGACACTCCAATTGCAGCCTCTCCTTTTAAGAGTGTTTTCAAAAATAAAAAAGCACAAAAAGATGTGACGAGGGTTTCCTACCCAGTGAAGCGAATTTGAGGTGCAGAATAAACACAGGATTATTGACTCACTCACAAAAATGTTACCGGAGAGCTTTCAAAGAGATTTCAAATACTTTTGGTTTAGCTCTACTCCCACTGACATCGGTTAAGACTTTTACCATTGACTTCAGGCACTGCTAGCCTACGTATCACTTTTAACTCTGCTATTATTACCTTTTAGTTTAAAATATGTAACGTTCCTCTGTAACAGACGGAAAAATATTTCAGGAACTTTTTAAATCTGTTCCTCCAAGATATATATATAATTTTTTTTTTTTTTTTTTTTAAAAACACACTGAGTCGCGGTTCCTGGATGCAAGCACATGTGACCTGTTCTAAATAAAGGATATTTTCCACTTCTTGCACAACTGGAACAGATATAAGCAGTAGCTTGAACAAACTGCATTGCAGAACCCAACCAGAATATAAAACACTTGAGTAAGATCCATAAATAGCAGTAATACAAAAAGACTACCTCCAATAAGGCACAAACTCAGTGTTGAGAAGCCTAATGTAATCAACTTCAAATTTAATCATGCTGCAAAGTTCATTTACAAAATTAAATTTGATCATCTGCAGACTAAGGCACTTCAGAAAAGTCCTCTTTGGCTCAGAGTAAGTACACAGTTTAAAAAATGTGTGCCTCTGGTGAAATTAATATTTCCTCAACAAACACTGTGTATTAAAAGGGAAGACTTCAATGTTTAGCACAGCACCAGAAGGGGGGGGGGGAAGGGAGTGTTTTACAGAGGATCCTAACTGGACAGAGATGAGGTACTAGCTGATATAAGTAAAATACTGAAGGTTTGAATTAAAAAAAAAAAAAAAAAGCATGTAGACACCAGGAATGATGAGAATTTTATAGAAACGTCACCGCTTTAATAATGACAAACTCTACATCTCAATGCTATTGCTCATAAACCAAGAATAAGCTTCCTAAAAAACTATAACACAACTTAAAAGCATTTCCTAATAATTTTTTTCCACTAAAAATACTTCAGTAACTGCATCATTCAGGTGCTTTTTATCCAGTCTGAAAATAAGCAAGCTGGGAAAGGGAAACAGAAAATAGCATAAATAGCTGTAATTTACCTGCAGGTACACAGTTTTATTCAGAGCAAGGCAGCAAATTACAACTGACAATAATTTGTTGGCACTTGCTAGGTCACACGTGCCATCCAAATGGACACATATTACAGAGAACCAAAAAAACAGAGAAAAGCAACTGAGTATAGATTTTTTTTTTTTTTTTTTGCTGCATTTGGCACATCTGCGTTAGTTCAGATCGCTCTGTACAACGGCAGACTGAAGTCTTCACTTCCAGACACCAGTTTGATATCTAAAACATCGCTTTAGTAAAGTCAAATGATTTAAAGAATCCACAGGAGTAGTACGACAGACGTCATTTAAGCCTACAGCGCCGGATGACTGCATGCAGACACATCAGGATCCGTGTTTACTTTGGGTAGTAACTGATTATTTTCTGCAACTGATTGTCTGAAAATAAAACTCCATTGACTTCATCGCTCACTGCTTGTACCAGAAATCCTATTTACTCGTTCATTACACAAACACATACTTATTTAAGCATACGTACTCATAAATTAAAGCTATTACCCTTTGGAATATGGCAGGAGAGGAGTAAAGTATGAATGTGAGGAAAAATAAAATAATAAATCTCCTTGTCTTACTGGCTAGTCATACAGCCCAGTTTCCTCCCACAGTGAAAAGTGACTCTGGAGAAACCAAAGCAACTGAAACATCTTCTCAGTTTTCAAAGACATTCAACCACAGCAAATTCCAGAGAACCCCTAAATGCATCTAGCACTTAGCACAAGCAGCTAACTTCTCATGGGTCTGAGGGGTTTAGGAAATATGGCTGGAACTGATATATCTCAGCCCCATGTATTCTCTCCATCCCTTGTGATTAAAGCTTTTTGCTGGGCTTACATTTTTCCTTGGCCTCTAGCATTCAGTTGTGGCTTGGCCTAAGTTCGTACAGTATTTACTGCAAAAAGTGTTTATTATGGGACCCCTTGCGGCTTTGGATTGCAGACCTGAATTATGAAATATGGATGGAGTAACTGCGAGGGCACACTGAAGAGGGGAAATCTTTAACTGGATATCATATATTGGAAAACCAGCAATCTGGGAGGAAGAGAATAGGAGAGTTTTACTGCATGAAGGACAGCAACATCGGCAGGGCTGAGTCAAACTGGGCAACCAAAAACAGTTCCTTCTTGTTTCAGAGCACTGGCATTCTTACTTATTTCTGAGCTGGATGGCTTTTTCTATGCGCTCACAATTTCAGCTGCTATGAGTAAGCCAAGGATGCTTCTCACCTCTCACGGTTAAAAAAGATCAGAGAAAGCCCTGAATGTTGCTAGGAAATCAGCACTTCT